ATGTACTGTATGTACTGTATGCATATGTATGTATGTATGCATGTATGTACTATATGTACTGTATGCATATGTATGTATGTATGTACTGTATGTGTATGGATGGATATTATTTTGGTATCAGATTGTTTTACTAAAAACCCACCCTAAATAAAGAGTTAAAAAGACAACAATTGTGTTTTCAACATTAGTATTCATCTTTCGTCGTGTTGTTTACCTCAGGTTACTGAGCATTTCTCAATTTTCAGCACAGTCATAGAGATTCAGATCATGTCTGCTCTGCAAATATTTTGTGTTCAAAATGGTCTACTTCCTGACTGCAAATGAGCCCAAAATATATTTGTCAAACTGTAAATGTTTCAAGATAGATCATGTTGCTGTAAGTAGTCAGTCAATTACAAAATACACTGATACATAGAATGTACTGCATTTACATCCACGAAATCATCAAGAAACAATTAACTGACAGGAGTAAAGAAAAAAAATGGAAATAATGCTAACAAAAAACATTTTAAATCAATTAAGTTTAAAGCAAAAACAAATGAGGAACTCTGATGTAAACACTGCTACAATATTAATCTTCTGTTTGACAATGACTCAGAAGCATAAATGACCTGAACTCACTCGTTTGCACGTCTTTAAAGAAACACTCAAAATTCTGATCGATTGATTTTGACAAAATGTGCATCCTCCATGATCTGGAAGGGGAAAAGTGGAAAAAGAAAATGGGAAATGTTCATCTACTCTTAAAAGATCAGAAGTTGGCTGTAAACAAAATACTTCACCTCATGTCTTTAGAATTTCTTTGCTGCGGCAAGGTTTATATTTTTTACTCTTCTTCACGCCACTTAGTCCACCATCATTCATACAACATAACATCTGGCAGCTGTGCATTTATCAGAGTCAAATGCTAATTGTCTTAGTTTTTACCAAGTCAAAATATAGAAACAGACAGACATGAATAGGACTCTTCTTGTTCAGTCCCAGAGCAGTGCATGGTGTATTTTCAAATGCAAACTGATTGCACATGCTCCCAGTTAATTGTCTTGCCACATCCTGAGGCCATTAGAAGGAAGCAGGGTGTGAAAAAGCTGACCAGGACCAATCAGGGTTTACTGACAACTTCTGAGGTCTCGAAAAAATAGCTGTTTTTAAAGGTTTTGTGCTCATTGGACCGTTTACTCCCATGGGGGAGGCATGAATACTACAGCATCGTTAAGCAAAACAACTCCATCAATCAGGCCGCATGAAAGCAGCCCCTTCTCCAAATAAGGTAATTACAGGAGGGAAACCGGAAGTCTCTCCATGGCAACTCACTCACTAACAGAAGAGACGAAAACAACGGACGAGTAGTGATGATTGACAGCTCCGTGCGGCTCGCGCTCGATCCATTACCAAAGACAACAACAAACAACCTGTTATGAACGTGTTTAGTGCCGTAAAACATTCATATATGCGCCTTTTTTTTTATATAAAAGTGTTGTAAATAAAACCGGTCTACGCGTCATAATAATTGATTCTCTCAATTATTTCCCCTGAAAGCTTTTCCGGAGCTGTTTTTATAGCATCGATTTATTTATTTTGTCATATCCACCTAGCACAAGCTAAAACTTGGCACTTGAATCGCCCTAAAATAATTGCGTGTTTGAACTACCTCAGTATCTTCTGGTCATCGTGGCGGTCCCGGTGACGAGCAGTTCTCCAATACCTTTATTTTGGATGCAACTTGGCTGCTGCAGGGTCAGTCTGCTGCTCGTTACAACCCTAAGATCTTCCAATTCTACTGCCAGTTTCGAGTTACTCTTCGGTCGAGTGCCGCATGCGACAACTGAACTAATTTGTAGCTGTTTTGAAAGTTGTGTTAAAAGGAGTGTTGTTGGTCTCGAGCAGCGCCGTCGTGTTGAACGCGGAGCAGCCTGATCCTCTCATCAACTAAAGTGCTGGATGCTGTCGGTCACGGCAAGTGTCTCCGCCCCATCACCACTTACATTCACAGCATTTTTACTGACAATTTCGTTTAATACACGTTTATTATTCTTGTCACTGTAAAATACTTATATTAGCAAAATCTGTGATTTTTTTTTTTTTTTTTTTAAGGAAATTGTTATTTGAATTTAACAAAACACAGAGTATGCTAATGGTTTTCCTCGGTGATAGTTAGCATTAGCTCATTGTTTGTTTTAGCTTTTTTTTTTTTAATATCCGCGTCATTTTATTATATGTTTGAGTTATTTTTCACAATTTATTCATAACAATATGCTTTTAGTTTGAAAAACGGAAGTTTTAGCGTGGCAGCCAATCGCATCAAACCTTTTAGCCCTGTTGATCGGGCGCTCGTTTTAGTGTTTAACGTGCCTGTGCGGGCGGGGTTAATGGAAATCTAAAGAAAAATCGTAGGCTTGTTGAGTAGACGGCACGGTCAAAGCAACAAATCGAAGTGACCCTGCGTAAGCGCTTCTTTAGTTGTCAACAACGAGGAGAAATGGCCGGTGAGTGCTACTAATAGGCTACACTTTTAAATAGTGTACAAAACAACCGGAAAACAAACAACCAAAAAATACTGTGTATGTTTCTCTCTCGATAGTAGCTAGCTAAACTTCGTTGTTTTTTTCCTTTCTCTTTTTGTCACTTGTAAGTATGCTATCGCAACTGTTAGCTAGCATTCATTCAGGGTGAGTTGGGAAAACAGATTTGTTGTTCGTGTTACTAGCACATAATCGACAGGTTATTCTGAGAGTAGTTGATCAGCTTTAGTAGTGTAACTCCAGAAAATAGTAGAATTTCAATAGATGCCTTTCATTAGTTCTGGTATTAGCACATCATCATGACGTTGTATATTTTGATTAAATGTAGTCAGGTTCCAGTGTTTCTCAGTTACGATTTGGGTGTAGAGCCTGCGATGATATGTGTTTAAATAATTCAGATCATCAGTCATGTTTTTAGGCTAAGGCCAATCCAATAATTTTTACAGGTGTATCTAAAATAATTAGAATATTGTGAAGTTATTTTTTGTCAATCGTTTCAGAAAATGAAACTCCTATATTATACAGTTTCATTACACATAGAGTGAAATATTTCAAGCCTCTAATTCTTATTTTGATGATTATAACTTACAAATAATGAAAAAACTAAATTCAGTGTCTCAGAAAACGAGAGTATTGTAAAGAGGTTCAGTGTTGTAAACTCCTGGTGTCACCCTAATCAGCTGATTCACTCCAAGGCATGAGCTACAAATGTCCCATCCCTTAAGTCCAGCCACTCCTGAACCAGAGACAACGTCAGAAGCGTCTTACCTGCTGAGGATACAAAGAACTGGACTGTTGTTCAGAGGTCCAATGTCCTCTTTTCAGATGAAAGTAAAGTTTGCACATCATTTATAAATCAAGGTCCCAGAGCCTGGAGGAAGAGTGGAGAGGTCCAGAATCCACGTTGTTCAAGTCCATTCATTCATTCATTCATTTATTTCTAAAGCGCTTTACACAACCACAGTGATGGTGACCAAAGTGCTTAACAACAACAGTAGTTAAAATGACAGCAAGTTAAAAGCAAGAAAAAAACACAATAAAATAACAAAAAGAAAACCAGAACTGTCAACACATATTTAAGTACTAAAAGCCTGTTGGAATAAAAAAAAGTCTTAAGCTTTGATTTAAAAGGGCCAAGTTCAGTAATCTGATGTAGTTCAAGTGGGAGCTTATTCCAGAGTCGAGGTGCGGCTGCAGAAAAGGCTCGGTCACCCCAGCGCTTATATTTTGTCCTAGGAACAGAGAGCAGGAGCTGTCTGACCTCAGAGACTTGGAGCAGGTGGGGAAACTTAACTTTGTTATATAAGGAGGAGCGAGGCCATTCAGAGCTTTAAAAACAAATAATAAAAGTTTTAAATCTATTCTAAAATGGACAGGAAGCCAATGTAGTGAGAGTAAAACAAGTGTGATGTGGTCCTGTCTAGGAGTGTTGGTTAAAAGGGAGCTGCTGCATTTTGAACAAGCTGGAGGCGACTCAGTGATGGCTGAGATACACCAACATACAGAGTGTTACAATAATCGAGCCTAGAACTGATAAAAGCATGAACAGCCTTCTCCAAGTCACAACAGTTTAAAAAGGGTTAGACCTTTTTTAAAAGGCGTAAATAAAATAAAAATCCAGACTGGACAACAGAGGTGACATGTTTGTCAAAGTGTAAATCCTTATCAAAGGTCCAGAGTGAAGTTTCCACAATCAATGATGATTTGGGTCCATGTCCTTTGCTGGTTCTGGTCCACTGTGTTTTCTAAAGTCCACAGTCAGCGCAGCATCTAGAAGGACATTTTATAGACTTCATGCTTCCATCTGCTGACGAGCTTTATGAAGATGCTGTTCCAGCAGGACTTGGCTCCAGCCCACACTGCCAAAGGTCCCAAAAGCTGGTTGTGGAATATTGTAATTTTATGAGACTGAATTTATTTTCATTATTTGTAACTTAGACATAATCATCAAAATTACAAGAAATAAGGCCTGTCCAGGGTGTCCCCCCACCTCGCACAGTGATAGCTGGATATGGGCATCAGTGACCCCCGCGACCTGAAAAGGAAGATGGATGGATGGATGGATGGATGGATGGATGGATGGATGGATGGATGGATGGATGGATGGATGGATTGATTTAATCTGTTATGAGTTTATTTTCTGAAATGATTTACTTTTTTTTTTACTTTTTCACAATACTATGTTCTAATTTGTAGATGAACCTGTAGACTGTTCATTTATATCTTACAGTCCAGTGTACATTGTACAAGTATGAAAATACAATGTTGTAGAATATTTTAAATCTGTTTTGTGTCTTTTAAATCTGATTTTTTTTTTCCCCCTCAGGCAATCATTTGTATTAATTAGTGCAAGTATGCTCCTCCACACCACCATATTACCTTCTTAAAACTAAATGCAAAAATAACTTCTATCTTTCATTCTTTTGACTTAGATATGACTTCTATTTGAAGACAGATGTGGACTGAGTGACAACCCTGTTGTCAGTTTCCAGTACATCCATGTGTATTATCTTCTTTAAGTTCGACCCCAGGCCTGCATCCAAAAATGCTTACAGGTAAGACAAATGAGACCATGAAAAAAGGCACTTAGCCTTTGGCTTGTTTAAAATTAAGGATTACTGGCCCAGACTGGGGAAAGAAGTTTTATTATAATGGTTTATTGGTTATTTTAATGTATCTTTGCTTCAATTTTCCTGACTTTTTGTCACTCCATCACTGAGGTGAAACCCATTCTAAGCAGTCATAAAACAAGTGACCAGTCATAAAGCTGAAAAGGTTCAGGGTGCATAGAAATACTTTAAATAGACAACCCTTTACTCTGTCAGAAATAGTGGAGTTTGTGTCTGTGTGCTGTGACATGAGGATGGGAGCGGACCAGGTTACAGGAAGTCGAGGCAAAGATGGCTGCAGGCATCCACAAATTGCAACACCCAACACGTTTATATCAGGATTATTTCCAAACACACCAATAATTTAGACAAACACATTGTCAGTAAGTTGTTGGCATATGTCTGACTGCAACTGACCCAGGCAATTAATCATTTCACAATAAAGAGGAGTGACCTAATGTTGGGTGATCATTTCAGCTAACTTGCCCTCATACTGCCCGATACTTTATTAAAACATTTTTGTATTATTTCTGTTTATAAATCGCATACATGCAGGCTTTTGAGTAGCCTAATAAAGCTTTGAGCATTTTAGGTAAAAACCAGTGTGGTTACATCGTAAAGTATGGGATTCAGATACATTACAAAACATTGTGGGGAAAAAATACAATAAAATTTAGGAAGACTTGATAGATTTCCTTCTTTTACTGCAGTTGACATGGCTGAGACAAAGAGCAGAGGTCAGGTCAACAGACATTGTGAAGCAGAACGGCTAGAAAACCCCAGAAAGAGATCCAGAGGACCTCCAAAGACCAGACGAGCACTGTGCTGGGGACTCAGTGTGACTGAACACGAGAGCAGGGATTTTATTTGGGGCAACACCAAATAAAATGTAATAAAATTCCATTTTCCAAAAGGAGACTTTTTAATGATTTGATAAGGACAACAAAATTGCAATCATTCTAATGTCTGGTTTCTGTAGCTATCGTTTGGTTGAAATTAGCCTGTTAATGTTCTACTGTAACTTCTTATTTCACTTGGTAATAAACTCCACCTTTTCTTGGCTAGTATTAATTTTCAGATGTTTCATAGTTGTTTCATATCATTTAGAATAGAATAGAATAGAATAGAATAGAATAGAATAGAATAGAATAGAATAGAAACAGCCTTTATTGTCCCACGGATGGGAAATTCAAGTGTAACAGCAGCAACAGATAAAAAGATTCACACAAAAGTTCCTAAATGTTAAAAACAATATATAAATAAGTAAGATAAACAATATCAATAATGTTGTTCAATATGTGTTGGAACATTGATAAGGGCAGACTATTGACAGTACAGTATTACAGGCAGAGTGTGTGTTTAAGCAGAGGTCAGCATGTATTTAATCCTTATTGAGTTTGTTGGGAACAGTGATGGTTGTAGAGTCTTAACAGCTGCTGGGAGGAAGGACCTGCAGTTAATTTATATATGTGTATGACAATGTTTGGCAAATAATCTTTATGAACGATGGATATGTATGATGAATACATCAGTAATACTTTGACCTCTGTTGTCATTTCTGAATGAATTCTGCACAGAGGCTCTGCTGGGGTGATTATTTATGATTCAGAAATTGTACTTCAGTGGATGATTTGGAGATTTACTGTATTTAAAACAACTCAGAATAAATAGCAATAGCTTGGTCTAGACCAGGGCTGTTCAACTGGTGGCCCGGGGGCCAGATCAGGCCCACAAGTGTGCTCAGTTCGGCCCACCATTGAGTTCATTTTTAAATAAAACTAGATTTTAAACTGTAAAACAAACTAACTTAATGACAATAACTGCTGGATGTCCGGCCCCTGAGCTCTTGGCTTTCAGTAACTGTGGCCCCCTGATCAGTTTAGTTGAATAGCCCTGCTCTAAATGATGCATCTGCTCATTCTGCTTCATTTAGGAATAAATTTCCAGAAGTTTTTTCCCCATTTCATCCCTGACTCTTAATCATGCTGTTTTCTACAACAGTCTAGAGTTCATCTTTTAAAGTAGGATCCTATTCGTCCTATTAGTCTGCTTTTATTTCTCAAGACAGTTTTTCTTCAGGCATCCAGCAGTAAGTGGTTACTTCTTCCAGTTGGCAGCACAGATTGGTGTACTATACACAGTCAATGTGGGTTATTGTGTGATGCGTAGACCCAGTTTATTATAATCCCCCAGAGGTCGGGGGCCAGCTCTGTGCCTGGCTGTTGGCTGCCTCCGTCCTTCCTTCTGCAGGTCGGACCCTGCCTAAGAGGAGCGCAGAGGTGTGTTATGAGTACTGGCTTCCACCTGGGGAAAGGTGAAACTTACTGTGTCCTAATGCATTTGTTTGTTCTAAACAGTCTGGTAATCATTGTTTTTGTTTACATGGCTAAATAAGAGTTTTGTTAGGTGCAATTATTAAAAGCTCGTAGTCCAAAGTGGCAGGGATATGTCTGTTGGAGGTAAATTATGGTTTCAGATGGCGTTCAGATCAAATGACGCACTGATCCACATGTTGATGTAACTTGAAACCTGCAAATTATATAAAACCAATTAATAAAAAATTAAATCCTGGTCTTGTTTGAGAAATCTGTGTAATTAGGAGTAAAGTGCTGTTAATTAAATGTTTTTGATGAACCGGTCACCAGCAGTTGTGAACATCTCTATAAAAGAACACGTTTTATCAGTTTGCAGGTCAGGTGTGTGTGTTGATGCCACGATTATTACCAGTAATGTTAAAGAAACAGTTTAGGAAGGGTTAGTGGGTCGTTTCCAAACTTTCTGAAATCCGTCAATCTACAATGAAGAAAGATTACTCACAAGTGGAAAACTTTCATCACTGGTGCCAGTCATCCCAGTAAGTTCATCTTGAGGTTAGATTGTGCACGTTTCAAAGATGTTTCAAAAACCTCGAGCGCCACGGCCTCCAGGGCTCTGTCAACATGTTCATTGTTCAAGTTCACAACAGAGCAGTTAGGAAGAGACGGAAGATGATTGTCTTATTTCCAAGGGTTACCAGTAAAAACTCTCCTCTCAAAAAAATAAAATAAAAACAATAAAAGATTTTCAGCCTGGTTTAGAGTTGTGTTTGAATGAACAGCCATGACAAACACGTGAAACTGGGAAACCCATCGTTATATTTCTATACTTATTATTAGGCAAAGCTTGTGAAGTGAGACATTGAGATAGTACTATTACACTGTGGAAAAATGATCACTGTGTTTATCAGTACCGTTGTGACCTCAAAAGTACCAGCCATCGTCCGAGGACCAGAGCCAGATAACATGCGTTGTATCACTGTGAGGATGGTATGATCTCAGCTTCAGACTCATCAGGTCTTATCTGTGATGACCCAAATCACAAGATTAAAGAAGCAATGTTCTTTAGACAAGCAAGACCACACTGGAGATTTTGAGCATAACCAGTTTCTTAAATCTACAAACACAATCATTCCATCCCAACTAAGCACGGTAGAGGAGGGCTGATGAGTTGTGCATGTTTTCTTGTCACATGATCAGGACACCATTGCAATATCACTAATTATGTCTAACAATAGTTTAAATAGATGCTGAATAATGGAGTGGTTTTCACATAAAACTTCAGTATTTACTTATTTTTTGTATGAATATAAAATTTCAGTGTAATGTGACATTTTGTTATTTCAGTCGTACCCTGGCTGCTCATATTGAAGTAAATGCTGAGGCCTTACACATATTGAGCAGACAGGGTAAAGTTACAGCGTAATCTTCATTGTTGCTTTTCTTTTAAGACAAATTGACTTTTCGTTTTTAGTTCCCGAGGATGGAACCCTCTCCCTTTGGTGAACCTATAGCCCTCTTCCCATTGCTACCCCATTACTATTGCTATCAACCTTGTCATACAAACTTCTTTTCATTTCAATAGAACTGGTTTAATTATATCTACTGTATTTTCTGGACTTTAAGTCACACTTTTTTTCATAGTTTGGCCAGTCCTGCGACGTTTAGTCCGAAGCGACTTATTTACGTTTTTTTTCCCTATTCATGATGCAATTTTTGACTGACGCGTTAAATGTTCATTCATACTGACATGAACCAAAGAGTAAACATTACCATTTGCAGGCGCGAGAGGGCCCTCTAGGCTTTTGACAACTTAAGCTTAAGCTTTTCTAGTGGGTATACTCCACATACCTGAGTATCACATAGACTACACCACTGTGTGGTTTGTTTCAGGGAAGGAGGCTGAAGTCTCAGACCTGCAACTGCAGTTCACACATGCTTACTAACGTCGTAAAGGTGGCGCAGCTGAAGAGGATTATTATTTAATTGTATATGTAAATAAAGGTAAAAAATGTAATATATGTAAACAGTTTATTTTTTAGACATTTATTTTGTAGAGTTACAGCTGTTTGTTACTATATGTGCTGTGTGACAATTGGGACAAAGCTTTGACTCAGAAATATATTTTTGTTGATACTTTATGGAAAGAAAAAATAAAAGAGATAAAAATCGTCTATCTCCATTCATCTTAAAATATCCAGGTATTAATTTTGGTCTGTATTGCCCAGCCCTACTCGGAAGCGACATATGGTTTTTTCCTCTTAATGAGGCATTTTTGACTAATCCAACCTATACTCTGGAGCGACGTATAGTCTGGAATATATGGTAGTTTGTTTAAAGGATGATTTAGGTGACCTCTAGATACTTTCAGCCAATGACCCAAGTTTGCATTTCTACAATAAAATAATGACATCTGTGAGTTGCTGCTCCATATTCCAAGGTACTCAGTTTCCTCTGTAATGATTGAATATCTACAGTAAATTTCCAAAGATTACACTGTAATCCAGAATGATTTTTCTCCCGCCACACAAGTCAAGAAAAATCATCAAGGATCTATAAAATGGCAAGGCATGTTTCATAGACATGCATGAGCTTTATTTGTGGAATGAAAAAAAAAAACCTCCTAGTTGAATACTGTTCGGCTTTGATCCTTTTTCGGCTTCCCGCCATGCCTCCCACATAATGCAGCTGGCTGACTGTCACTGTGAATCGAGATGTTTGCATGGGAGCTGCCCCGTAGGACCCGATGGCAGATGCTCTTCTCTTTGCAGCATCATTAGTGTTGGCTTTGTTTCCAGGAACAGTGGTGGCTCACACAGTGCCATGCAAAAAGGCTGTCATTAGCCTTTGATACTCCAAAACTGTGCCTTATTAGGACAGTTTGGTTTCTTTGTTTCTATTTTATTGGGCTCTCATCTTGAAAGATTAATGGGATCACAACAAAGCTTAGAAGGGGACATACAGCGATTGAAACTGATCTATTTGTCACTTGTTTGCAACAAAAAATGGATTTTTAAATTATATAAAGGTTAAGTGGGATATATTTACTGTTCACAAAAGTCATGTTGTAGACTTTACTTTTTCCTCCAGGCATGGAAATATTTGTTTAGTTTCATAATTGCAGGATATTCTAAACAAGCTGAATTAAGTAATATGTGTTATATAAATACTATAAATACTCATGATGAGATGTAACATTACCTCATTACACAACTCGTAGTGACCTGCTAGTATCGGCTCATAATGGCTAGTGTGTCATTACACACAGGTCACAGTGCAGGCCCATTACCAAGAGCATGATGGCAGGATTACTCTGTCTGACTGAATGATGAAACGGGTCAAAGTGTAGTGCTCAACCGACAAGCAGACTGTGTTCGTCCCATTCAACGGATTTATTTAATACAAGATCAAACTCTGGTTTCGGCCATTCACTCTGGATTTGAGCAATACATATATACAGTATTTAAGTGTTGCTGCGCCATCACAAAGATAAATTGGGATGCAACAGATGCAGAGGTGATTTATACATGGCAAGAGCGGACAGTTTAATAAAATATGTAGGTGAGAATGTTTGCCTGTAAAATGTGTGATCACAGTTTTTTAACCCCCTTCACGTTTGGTTTCTGTATGAAAATAAAATGCTGTCAGACTTGATTTGTAAAACAAATTTCATATTACAGATTCAATATAAAACCCTGTGCATCTACAGTCAAAGTGATAAGAGTTGGGGATAAGGGGCCAAGATGGGGTAGCAGTATTGCAGCTGACTCAGGACCCAAAAGTCCTAGGTTCAATCCCCAGCCATTCCCACATGTCGTGGTGGCTTTGAGCAAGACACCCAATCCCTAACTGCTCCCCAGGCGCCCACATAGCTGCCCACTGCTCCACCTGCATGTATCCCAGGTGCGATGGGTTAAATGCAGAGAACTGATTTCATCATTGTATGGAAACATACAATGATGACAACACAAAGCACTTACTTTTCATGTTATTATGTATTTGTTTTCTTTTGAATAGAATACTTATCAGGAACGTGCTGAACGTATTTGACATTTCTAGTAAGTCTTACAGATTGCTATTCAGCCTCCCAGCTCCTTGATCCTGTTGTCAAATGTCCAAATCATGGGCTAATAAGAAGAAAGCTCATCAGAGACTCTACTTCCTCAGGCGGCTGAGACGAGCTGCTCTGGGAAGCTCAGTCCTCACCTCCTTCTACAGGTGTGCAGTGGAGAGCATCCTGTGCTCCAGCATCAATGTGTGGCATGGAGGCTGCACAGCTGCAGAAAGAAAAGCTTTGCAGAGAGTGGTGAAGGCTGCACAGAAGTCTGCTGGAGTCAGCCTCCCCACCATCACAGACATGTACACCTCTAGATGCAGAAAGAGGGCCACCTGCATCATGAAGGACCCCACTCACCCAGCACACACTTTTTGCCCCGCTCCCCTCAGGCAGGAGGTTGAGGAGCATTATGTCTACACGTAATACTAAGTATAGTGGTTGTAGAACCACTAGACTGAGGAACAGCTTCTACTCTGAAGCTGTTAGACTCATGAATCTCTAACCAGAAAAATCACTGTAATGCCACTTTAACTGGACATTTGACACTGATGCGGCTAAAATCCTACTGTATATTTTAGACTACTGGTTGCTGTTGTTCCTGGTAGGCTTTGGTTTTACATGCGCTCAATCAAAATTCACTATGCAGATCTTAATTTCGACTTATAAATCATAAAATCATTTATTTCCCTCACAATGTCCATTTACATTGCCATTCCATTTAGAAAACAAATAAATCTGCCTTGACTCTAAACTAAGCACAGTAGAAAACTGTTTGCTCCTTCTCATTAGCAACACCTGAACAGAATCACACCTGCCCTTAAGTAACCACCTTCTTCTGCTGACATGTTCAGTACACAAAATGAAATACACCCTCTAGTGGAGATAAACACAGAAAAACAAGATAAACGGCTCCTACAGACACTTTGTGCTGCTGATTTTTTACCCACAAGCTGCTGTAATCATACCCATCTGCTCACTACAGACTCATGTTCAGGCTGCTATTTAATACACCATATTATATTATATTATTATTGTTGTTTAGCATATATCTTAGATCAGGGCTATTTAACTAAATTACTCAGGGGGGGCACTGAAACCCAAGAGCTCAGGGGCTGGACATCCTGCAGTTATTGTCATTAAGTTTGTTTTATGGTTTAAAATATATTTTTATTTAAAAATGAACCCATTATTGGGCCTAACTGAGTTCACCCATGGGCTTGATTTGGCCCCCAGGCCACCAGTTGAATGGCCCTGTATTAGATCCTTGTACACTGTTTATTTTTTTTTAAATATTTTTTGCTATTGTTGGGTGTAACTGGGACCCTGTGTACACAATTTTGTTCCACCTCCTGTACCGCATGTGATGTGAATTACAATAAAGTCACCTTGAAATAAAGACTTAGATAGAGTGTATACAATAAATACACGAATGCACAATAAATGATTGAAAGCAAAAAAGGTTAAATCCTGTCATCTGGACCAGTTTCTTTAAGCGAGAAACATTTTGTCTCAATGAATGATTGACTTCAGGTAACATGTTATAACAAACTATAGTAAAAGTCTCACCTAACTGATGGAGCAGCTTTATATTTTTATTTTTATGTGAAGAAAGAATAAGTGAGGTTTACGTAAATAAAAATACTCCACTTTGTCTCCTCTTTGCACCTCCTCAGGCTAATTTTGGCTGCTAACAGAGATGAGTTTTACAACAGACCGTCCAAGGCTGCAGATTTCTGGGGGACCAACAATGACATCATCAGCGGTAAGTTGGTATTTTATTATACATTTGTTCTCACTTCTCCTTCCCACTCAGCATTTACTAACCATGTGACTACATATATTAGCAATAAAATAAATCTATAAGTTGCAGCTTCAGGCTGTTTTATGCAATTTAGTTTCAATTTTAAAATCGTTTTAAAACTGTATATGAAGCATAAAAGTGTCTATCAAAGCTTCAAACACGTCGATCTTATTGGAGCTTTTATGACCGTGTTTGACTCCCTTAAAGACTCGAGGTTAAATAGGTTTTCATAATCGAGTAAAATCTGTCTCTTTAACCTCCAAATCTAATTCTCATCTAATCTGTCACACGACGTCCCCACCCACAGTAAACTAAACCATATTTAATTTGTGGGTGCCCAGCTCACATCGTAGCCGAGCGGAGGAAATCAATCATTTGTTGTTGCTGTTGTTTTACCTTTTCTTCCTGCTGGAGAAGGAAACACGAACATCGCCTGGTTGTTCATCAGTCTCCTCTCGCCTCTGTAATAGAGGGGTCAGGACTGTACTAGTGGGTCTATAATTGATGGCTGTTTTTATGCGATGTGACAAGAATAAATGGCCCTGCCTTATCTGTAGGGCTGATATGAAGGGGGGAGCCACACGTGGGGGTGGAGGGCAGCAGCAATACCCTGAAGGAGGCATAGCATGACGAGAAGGGAAGTAAGCAATAGCTCCCAGTGGGATCAGTGTAGCCTTCCTTCCACCTCCTCATGAATAAGGCCATCTAGAAGCAGACATGTCTTCATTGATCACCAGGAAGGACTCTAGACACGTTCAAATTTTCTGTAGATGTAAAGTATCTGAGAGAAAAATAATTTATTAATGAACCTTCTCATTTTCATCCCTATAAGCAGTTCATATTAAAGAAGCTCCCACTATAAGTGAATGCTGTAAATGCAGAAAGGATGGAGATTCATGCAACAATTTTCAGTCAGGTCATCTGGACAGATTTTTTTTTTTTTTTGTGCTGAAACGTTTCACCTTCCATCCAGAAGGCTTCATCAGTCAAGGAAACACACAACACAAAACTGATTCTTCCCCCAACAGCTTACTCCAAAGTGGAACAAACCAGTTGTGTAGGTGCTAAGATGGTGTCTTTGGCACGCCCCCTCCTCCGGTGCCGGCCCTTTTCCTCATCGACAGTCATGTCAAACTGGTTCAAAACCAACAAAGTCCATGCTCAATAATCCAAGTTTCAGCACAAAAAAAAAGAAACTGTCCAGATGACTGACTGAAAATTGTTGGATTGTATACCTGGATTATTGAGCGTGGACTTTGTTGATGGTGATTCATGTTCAGAAACATATTTCACAGCCTATGAAACACTTTAAAGAAATGTGTAGTGTTACATGAAGAGTACTTAAGATTAAAAAGGTTCAAATCTGACTTCAAAACTCAGTAGATGTTATCTTCAGTTTATTAACACAAGTTATTATTTATAGAAATATAGAAGATTAGTCTATGGCAGCCAAGGACACTATTGGGCACCTGCTGGCTCAGCCTTTGCGCCTGGTTGTGGATAAATGCACCCTCTGCTCACCAAGATCCACCACTCTGCCCTGCCTCAGGCAGGCAAACCAAAAATAACTACATATGTTTTTATTCACAGCGTAACTCATACCCACTTGAATATCTTGCACCAAAAACGTTAAGATTTACTTGCATTCTCTGTTCAATACCAGTCCAGAAAAACACTTGGCTCAAAAACAAACATTCACTAATCAAATCCCTGAGCAACAGGGGACTTCGGTGTACCACTTTAATTCATGTATTCTCAAAAAAGAATTGGCAGCAAATTATATTTTTACATAGTGCACTCACAATGGCAAATTTAGCTGTTCAAAAATGTTGGGTCAGTTGTTCTTACACCCAAAAACAAAGATGTTCGGCTTTTTTCTTTAACGTCCATAAAATGTGGCACCCATTTGAGCTGCGTTTAATAACATGGTTGTGCTTTTGCCTACCAGGTCTGGACCTGGAGTGCGGGAAGGAGGGTGGATCCTGGCTGGGGATCAACAAGAAGGGCAAGCTGGCTGCGATCACCAACTACTTGGAAGGATATCCTAACCCTGATGCACAAGGAAGAGGTAAGCCAGCAGAGATTCTGGTTAAATACCTATTTGCTTGATGAGTATTGACAATCTCCAAATCTTCATGGTAGTTTAGCCCAGTTGGTTTGTTAGGAATCAATTTTTTTGCTCAGTTTTATCTTGCTGATCTGCAGGATTTCTAGTGTCCAACTTCCTTATGGAAAAGGATGTAGACAGCTGCTCCTACATGAAGAAGGTGTCTGCAGACGGCCATCTGTACAACGGCTTCAATCTCATCACAGCTGACTTCAAGTGAGTAAAAGGCGTGCTAAGATCAAACACAAAGTGTGATAATGTTGTAATAAATTAAATGGTCATTGACAAAAGTGATTAGCTCTCAGTGATACTGGATGCAGTTGAAGTTTGTAAAATATATCTTTATTTTTAAGACATTTTTAGCTGCCTTAACTTGGGCATGCTGGCTGTGATTCTAGACTGCATTAAAAAATAAAAAATTCTTGTATTTTTCTCTGACCTGAATTGGTCGATTTTACTGACCTGCTGAACAGAGAAAACTCAAAACGGGAACAGTGCTTCCAAAAAGTTGTTCGCTGTAAAGGTGGAGGTCTCTGTAGACGACGGACATCAAAACAGGTCTCTGTATCTGCCAGGCAGAGGTTAGAGGTGGGGTCAAAATACACCCCCGAGCCTATTTCTGTCAGGGAAAAAAGGTGGGAGGGGAAGCCGGGGAGATCTTTTCTACAGCCGAGGTTGTGGTGTGTACACTGGTAACATGACCTTGAGTTGGATTGTTTTCTTAAAAAAATAAAATAACTTTTTTTTACATTACATCACCACCTGACTCTAAAACTAATGTGTTTTAACAGCATTGAAAAGTGTGGAAGTCACTTTTGGTGTTGTCTAAATCTGGATCAATATAAAGGAAATAAACAACAGTCTGTCTGTTTGTTACTGAACATGTCTCATGAACAGCTAGAGAAATTTAATCAAACTTGTAGAAAATAATCAATGGATGCACATCTACAACTCATTTAACTTTTGGAGTCAACCTGATTCAAGATGTTTGCCACAACTAGCTGACCTTAGCCAACACAATAACGGCTATAACCCAGTCCATTTGACAGATATTGAGCTAAATTTGTTTGGTTCAGAACCTTATGTACAAGGATCGATGTAATGGGTGATAGCTGTGAGATGGAAGCAGTTTTAACACCATACATGGCAGGTATGTTAAAAACACTGAAGCACCTGAGGATTTTTTGTTAAACGGTGCTGTGTACATGATCACTATAATTTTATTATATGTATACAATCTGAAACTTCAGTGTCAGGAGGGCTGTGATCAGTCTTACATCGAGGAAACTAAACAGCCACTGGCCAAAAGGATGGCCCAGCACAGAAGATCAACATCATCAGGCCAGGACTCTGCGGTCTACACTCATCTCCAGGCCAGCAGTCACTCTTTCAGGGATGAAGATGTTCACATCCTGGACAGAGAGGAACGTTGGTTTGAGAGAGGAGTAAAGGAGGCCATCTTTGTGAAAAGAAATTGTCCATCGTTAAACAGGGGTGGAGGCCTACGTGTTCAACTGTCCCCCTCTTACAATGCTGTGATTGCTAGTATCACTCAGCCCTCTGTGAACAGTAAACAGCCATCAGTGTGCTAATGATCCATTGTTAGGCTGATGGTCCTTCTTGAGCATGTGAGCAGCTGGTTTTGGTTGTCAGCAGCAAACTGGTTGATCCACTCTGAGAAGGTGCTATTTAAGAGACTGAGCTGAATACAGCACCTCAGACTGAGGAAGTCTCTCAGATGAGAGACGAAATGTTTCTACGTTGTTTTTTTGGTTGTTGTTTTGCTTTGTTTTGTTTTTTTGAATGTCCAGAGGACCAGATTTAACTTTTTTAGATTTTTCTGCCTGGATTATTGAGCATGCATCAGGATATGATTTCTCTACTTTATATTGCTTCAAATGATTGGGGTGGCTGAAGATTAATTTATGGTGGCACCATTTGCCACCCTCTGGCTCAGCCATTGCATCTAGTGGTGAATAAAATTGCTCGCTCCACTTGCCATGATATCTGCGCTGCCTGAGACGAGCAAAAAAAATAAATCAACTACCTCTGTTCTTACACACAGTGTACTGTAACTCCTACCCACTTGAATATTTTGCACCAAAAACATTGTTTACTTGCATTTCCTGTTCACTTCCCGTCCAGAAAAACTTGCAAAACTCATCTTAAAAACTACAAACATTCACTATTCAAGTCCCTCAGTGACGGGGACATCGGCATATCGCTTGTTTCACTTTAAAATTGGCCCGTGCTTTTTCTTTTCTACCTTCTGCTGTTTGAAATGATACCAAAGAAATGCAGATTTTGCTGTAGATACTGACCCACAAACTGTAGAGACGTTGGCTCCATATTCTTATTTTCCAGGTTAATTTCTTAGACTTTTCTCATATAAAAATGATTTTCTTACCTTTCTACATTTTTGTAATGTGTCTTGGAGCAGCTATGAGTTATTAAAGTCGTGTTACTCAAACCAAATTGTCAAATGCTTATATTGGACTTGCTCCTAACTAATCAGGTCTCGTGTCCAAACCTAGCAAACACGCTGCATAAAGGCAGCGAGTTCTGGACAGTCTGAAGCACAGACAGACAGACAGACAGACAGACAGACAGACATGGGTCACTACTATAAGGAAGTAAAAGAACAAATCTCATCACACCGCAGGATGTGATTTACATCTGGAGAGATTTAAAGTGAGGATGGTCCGTTCTGACTCACAAACTGGTTTCATCTGTGGATCTTCCACCTCACAACTGGATAAGATGCCATGATGTTGATTTCTGCCATCTTAAAAGATAACAATTTGTCATCTGTTTATGACAGATTTTATTAGCTGTAACTTATTAAAGTTTGGGGTTGGAAACTCCAACACCAACTGTGTCTTTAATATCCAACTGGCTGACTTGAAACAAGAACTCGGCATGCTTCTAAATATTGACTTGATGGTTGCTTACATAATTTGACTCTAAGGAACTACAAACTGAGCTGCCTGCAGAGGTTAGCGTCATGTGATATGAGCTGCTAACCTAAATGAACAGCAGACATTTTGAATGCACATTACAGAATATATTTTTGAATACTCAAACTTTGAGAAGTCTGTGTGGGATTTTTTCTAAACAACATAACTAGCTGCAGATCTGACACATGTTCAAACAATACAGTGGTTGTATGTTATAGTTCATGCTCTTAAATGTTTTTTTATACTTAATGTCCAAGTAAAAGTCTTCAACATTATTACCAACCAAAGCAGTTTCAGATATTTGTCTATTGCTGGATTGAAAATGTCACCAAATCCAAAAAAGGACACAAATATGATCCTACACTCTAATATAGCATTAAAATATTACAGGAAAATGTATCTAATCCAATAAATCACTTTAATCTGAAAACTGCTCTTGGCTTTGGATATAATTCTTGATCAGGTTAGTCCTTTAGGAAGAGATCTATCAGGCTGCATTTAGGAAGAGTTTCTAATTAAAGGTCCGTACGACTGTAATAAGTATTTGTGTGTTGCCACAGTGGCCTCCTGGTGTCACCTCACATCTATAAATCACAAGACGAGTGAAGAGCCTTTTGGTTTGTTACGTGTTTGTCTCCTGCTTTGAGTGGTCAATCATCTGGGTTATAATCATTATTGTCTTCTGACACAACATGCAGGCAGACAATCATTTTGTGTGTGTGTTACTGTTACCAAAATATCTCATGAACAACAATCATTGGATGGACATTTACAACTGAATACATTTTGGGGTCTGATTCAAGATGGCCACCACAGCTAATCAACATGAGCAAGCACAAAACCATGACCTTATCTTTCAGTTTTCTATGAATTAAGCTAAAATCGAATGTTCAACCATGTTCAGTCAGGTCACCTGGACGGTTTCTTTTTTTTTTTGCTGAGACGTTTCGTCCTTCGTCCAAAGGACTTCTTCAATCTGAGAAGCCACCAAACAAAACTGATTCCCACTAACGGCACACTCCGTAGTGGAGATAAAACAGTTTGCTGGTGCTAAGTATCAGTTTTGTTTGGTGGCTTCTCAGATTGAAGAAGTCCTTCGGATGAAGGACGAAACGTCTCAGAAAAAAAAAAAAAAGAAAACATCCAGATGATTTGACTTAACATTGTTGGATTTAATATGTGGATTATTGAATGTGTTTTTTCACCAGACATCCTTTGAGTGCAACCTCACGATATCACACAAGATCACGCATGGCATTATTGTCACATTTTGACCAGAACTACTACAACTCTGTCATCGTTCATCAGAAGGTTAGGAAGTTCTTAGAAATTCTGGCAGAAAATACGGTGGGTGTTGTGCATTCCTTCAAAAGATGTGTGGCCTTTTGGAGTTTAATGCTTTTAGACTTCAGATATATGGCTACATGTCTTCTCTCTGATGGTAGCTGTAGATAGAGATGGTGCACAGTGACAAAACATACGCCTTGGTTTTTATTACCCCTATCATTCCCAAACTTTTCCTTTCTCAGTGCAGTGAGGTCGGTGCTGATGAAATAAGACGTGCAATTTATTTTCAAATCAGTGCCTTCGTCTGGTGTTTACAGAACAGGTGTTCTATGACAGCGAGGAGATTTCTGATCATTTGTTACTAGAGACATGAGTTATAATGTGATCTCTGTGAAGAATGGGAAGTGTAATGTTCCACCATTTCATGTGACAGAACTTTGTGTTTTATGTCACTCCAACTTTAAAGTCTTCAGGTTGCTTTCTTGATGTTGGTGCACTCAAATGCCTCCTATATTCAGTCAAACTAAGTGTATCTTTTATATATACAGGTCCTTCTCAAAAAATTAGCATATTGTGATAAAGGTCATTATTTTCCATAATGTAATGATAAAAATGAAACTTTCATATATTTCAGATTCATTGCACACCAACTGAAATATTTCAGGTCTTTAATTGTTTTAATACTGATGATTATGGCATACAGCTCATGAAAACCCAAAATGCCTGTCCCAAAAAATTAGCATATTTCATCCCACCAATGAAAGACAAGTATTTTTAATACAAAAAACGCCAACCTTCAAATAATCATGTTCAGTTATGCACTCAATACTTGGTCGGGAAAACTTTTGCATGAATGACTGCTTCAATGCGGCGTGGCATGGAGGCAATCAGCCTGTGACACTGCTGAGGTGTTATGGAGGCCCAGGATGCTTCGATAGCGGCTTTAAGCTCATCCAGAGTGTTGGGTCTTGC